TAAATTATTATTATTGTCATGTCTTATACTGTCTGACGTCTCCCTTCACCCACTTCTCTGTTGTCCGTCCCCTAAAATTCTGTTTTAATGACATGAATCAAAGGCCAAGAATTTCAGTGTAAATGGTCTTTAGCAAATTCCTGCTCCACAATCCTATTTATAGGAAAAAACAAAATCAAGGGTTTAGCTACTCTTTCCCAAAGAATGGAGAAAAACAGTACATTCCAAAGCTCACAGGGCCCTCCAAATCGTGAACTCAGACCTCTGCTCTTTCAGTTAAGGATAGAGACCTGCAGCTCCAGGTAACCAACCATACCTGTTGCCAGCATCTGACAAGATTTCAGATTTTTAAGGGACCCTCAATGTGTGTTAAAGCCATCACTAACAAGATGACATTTATAGATAAGGGGGTATATTTAAGAAACAGTCCATCTGTTCCGGTGTTAGCTGTAGGGACGTTTCCAACCTGAAGACCATGAACACCTTAGGAGCTAGAGTCCCAGCACATAGCCCTAACAGTGACGGTGCCAAATCCCTCCCTGGTACTCATCAACCTAGGTTCAGAGGCCTGAAGGGGCAGTTCCAGGACATAATAATATTGAGAGGACCCAGGCTGACCCTCTTCTGTTGGCCTCGGTGTTGGAAAGGGCTTTGTCTAACTTGCCTGTGTGACTGTCTCTTCTAGGCCACTGACTAAATGGGAGGGACTAGGAGATAAAGCTGTCTGGAAACAGCAACTTTATGGAAGATTGAGGAGACCAGGCCTGGCCCAGATGGGTTCACAAAAGACAAGAGAAACAGTTCAGAATCAGGGAACAAAGGCTACTCTGGTTGCTTGTGCCACGGTTGCGTTTCCAAACAGTTTTAAGTGTATTACAGGTGACAGAAGAGGAAATGCAGCTGAAGACACGACTTTCTTTTAGCAACAGGGCAGAAAGAACAAAGCAGACTGCAGACATGTTTGCTTCAGATGGTGTGATGAATATGTGTAACTATTGAAACAGCTTCAGATTAATGATTATAGATGTAAATTTAATCTAAGAGATCAGTGAGATGACACATGTCAGTGATTGGTGATGTCTGTGGTTTTTCTGCAATGGGGGACATTCTTCTTTGTTGTAGGGGTGGGGGGTTTAGAATCACATGAGGAGGGAGCAGAGTATTTACCTAGGTCCCTCACATCACACTGAGCAGAAATCCTAGCCCATGGGATGCTTCAATGAGCAAGGGCAGCATCAACAGGTCTTCCCTAAAAGGATCCCTGGGTGGCTCTGGCATGCCACCGTTGTCTCATATCCTCTAGAGGTGTGTGGGCAGCAGAGAGAGTATCTGAGGTAGGATTTCTGCACTCTGCTACTCTCTACATTATAGCACCTACCTCTAGTCAGGGAACCAGTCCCTAAGCTCCCCCACCCCCCTCCTCCATCTTTCTCTGCCTCCCTTGACACTTTCCAGGTATCACTTTATATATGGTCACAGGTGACCTTGGTCACTGTCACCCCTCCACAAGCTTGTTTATTTGTAACCACGTGCATTCACAGCCATACCCATGCAGCAGAAGGGCTTTTCTGAGGACACGTTTCTTCTCATTTTCTTCTTCTTCAGAGTCTTGCAAATTTATGATAACTTTTCAACGTGGTCATAGGATCCAAATTTTTTTTTTTAACTTTTATTTTTATTTATTTATTTATTTTAACATTTGGATCCAAATTTTTTATAGTACTAATTTGCCCCAATTCTGACTGGCAAAAGTTCTCTACCACACAGCTTTTATAGTCCAAGTTTTAACACTTTTTTTTTTAACATTCCAAGATGTAAACAAGCACAAATTGATGTCTATCTATTAGGAATGCTCTCTGTCACATCATCTTTTTTCTGGGTACCCTGGAACTTTCTGGTGACAGATCTGCTTGGTGCATTTCATGACTGCCTTGCTGCACTTATTAAGTATACTTCTAAAGCCTTGGAGAAGTTCTTATGATAAATTATCAAGTGGCAAAAATATGATACAAAGTTATAATAAAAAATAGCACATCATAATTTAACCATTTCCTTCTTTATGGACATTTATCTTGTTTTCAAAATTTCCAATCAGAGCAGTGCTTAACCAACTCTGGGAACACAAGGGCCTCCAATGGCACATGACATGATTGCTAGAAATGGAGTCCCCAGGACACAGGCTGGGCACTTCCTTGGGTCTCATCCTTTTTCACACTGGAAGGGGTACTTATTTTCTTTTTGAGTATCTTCCAACTTGGTAAAAGCAAAGGAAGTCTGTTGTCCACGAAGTGGGTAGGCCTTTGTGTGTCCTTGCTCATCACATCTGACCTTGGTTCTGACATTTGGAGGCTACTTCTCTGTCTCCCCCATATTTTTGGAGTAAGCTCAAGATATTCTGTGTCAGACAGTGGTCTGGTGCAGTACCCTGAGAGTCACATTTCCTATGCTCCCACCCTCAGTCAAAGGCCCCTGTAGCCAGGCACCTTCTCCACCTGCACTCCCTGTTCCTCTGCCCTCATGTTGGTTGCTGCTGAACAATCAGTAAAGGTGCAGGGAGGACCTGAGCCCTACACTGAGGGTGTCAAGACTACATACATGTGTGGTAGTGAGTGACATGCCCCCTTCAAGACTGGTCTAGATCCCTCTGCCTGATCTTTTTTGGTAATCTGAGCTTCCTTTCCTAACTGTGTCTGATTCTAGAAGGATGCTGAAAACAAACGTCTTTGGGCATTATCTCCCAATATGAACTCAATCCAGTTGACTAATTACTCATAACTATGTATGTGGGTTCGCAAACAGTTGGGAACCAACCAGGCTAGAAATTTATGCCCACACACTGAGCCCCTGCTTATACACAAAGATACAAACACTGTACTTAATAGTATCTCTGGGGATAGGCACTGAGGGCACTTAATTGAAGTTTTCATCTAAGAGAACATCCTTTTTTAAAAGTTCAATTCTGTCCTCTGTTTCTCAATGTCTTAAATCATAAAGTAGAAAATTTTGGACCTGACAGAGAACAGAACAACCTGGGAACTGCCAAGTTCTAAAGCATAAGTAGAGTGGACGGCAGCAGCCAACAACGGTCATCTTGACTCAGGAAAACATTTAAGATGAGTCACTATGAAAAATGTAAAAGATTTAATAAATACTTTGTTCCCAGGGGGTCAGACAACAGAAAAGTGGGTAAAAAGAGACATCGGGCAGTGTAAGAAAAAATAATAATCATTTATAAATTATCAAGGGTTCATGAGGGAGGGAGAAAAATGAGGAGCCGATACCAAGGGCTCAAGTAGAAAGAAAATGTTTTGAAAATGATGATGGCAACAAATGTAAAAATGTGCTTGACATGATGGATGGATGTATGGATTGTGATAAGAGCTGCATGAGCCCCCAATAAAATGATTTTTAAAAAAACTTTGTGTAGAATTTGGCATCTCTGGGTCCCTGGGTGGTACAGAAAATTGGACATTCAAGTCAACCTACATGTGTCTCAGAATAACAGCCTGGTTTTCAACTTCTAAGCACTTAGATAATGATAGTAATTTTCAGTTTAATGTAACAATTCCTTGAAGCTATTCTCAAGCCGTCATTTTTTCAACCACCGACAAGCTAACAAAGCAGTTGTTAGGTCCAAGCTGCCCAGACAGCCCTGAGATCAGTCCATCTTTGTGGATGATGTGCCCTCGGATGGCCCTTCCCAAGCCACATGACCTCATTGGCATCCTCACCTTTCATCCTGCAAGCAAGGGGAGAGGGCAATCATGATAGAGCAGTCCTTGGCAGTCATGGCAACACGGTACTGCTGCACCTACAAAAGAAGAGTTCAGGTACAGGTGACATACCTCAATACCACCACCATAGGACCCCACACAAATTTTCTCTCCTCCCTTCACCCCTGTGAAGGCCAAGAATTGTTTTCTTTTAAACAACACAGTTTTTAAGGAATAAAGAATGTGGTCAGCACTGAGCAGGTACGGCAGGGGCAAGAGGAATGAAAAAAATCCCTTCACTCACACCCAACCCAAACAGCACTGTTCCAGCAGGCTGCTTACAAAGGCCAACCCTGCTCTTTGATTTCATCCATGTAAGAAGCGTGCAGCTTCTTTCCCCCAACCTCTTCTGTCCCAGCTCCAAGGAGTCATTAATCCAGTTACTGTGTCTACAGACTTAGTTATATTGGATTTCATATAGAAAACACATTTAAAAACAAATAACACCACCAAAACTTAACAAGAATAACAAAGTAAAACAGATAAAAATCTCAATAGAAAATTAAAGCAGAAAATATTAAAAACTAGCTAATTCACTTTCCAATTCATTCTGCATGATAACAAGGTTATTCACATCCTTTGTCCATCCATGGTCACCAAGAGCTTAATCCATATGTATTTCCCCTCAATTTTTTTTTTAGAACGGAAACAGCTTTAACATGGGTTTAAAGGGAAATTAATGAAAGCTATTACGTTTGATCTATGTCTACCATAATCGATTTTATAACGCTCTTTCATAACAGGGCTATTCACATCCTTCAACTATGAGTGGATGGGCTTGACAGGAATGGTTCAGTGTAGGTTGCTCTCCAGGAAGTCCTCGGGGAATAGGTAGGTTCTGTGCAGGGCCATCAATCTGGGTGCTTTTGTGACGGTGCTGGGCACACAAGCCAGCTGGGGCTTGGGAAGAGGCCAGTGAAGCCATGGGTGGATTACTCATAGGAGGCATAATTCCTGCGAACATAGGGATGACATACTCTTCAGCAGCATCACCATGTTGAGCCCCAGAGGTGGCAACCTGGGTAGGCCTAGGTCACCAAGGGTAGGGAAGTCTTCTTGCAAGTGTGGACCCCAGGGGCCACCAGTACCTAGGGGGTTCCTTGAGGGTGTCGCCACGCGCCAGGCCCTACCCTTCCACATGTCTGTTGAGAATGATGACAGCTAGCCCCTTGGCTCTGTTGGCAGGAACCTCAAGAACCTGCTCAACCTTAGATGGCCCTTCTTTGTTGGAGGCTTTTGGGGTGTGGTCAGGGCTGGGGACAATGAGGCCCCAGGCTTCTCAAAGCCATTCTTTTTGTTCTGGCCCCCTTTGGTGATGGCCTAGGAGATGGCCAGTATGGACACAGAAGGGGCTGTGGTAAGTCAGCCAACAGCTACTAGGGAGTCTTCTCCACTGGAGCAGCCGGCCGCTCCAGCAGCCCTTACTGCCCACTATCAGTCTTCATGGCGGACGGGGCTCCAACAGCAGATGGGCTTTGACAGCGCCACCACTTTTCTGCTGCATTTCCAGGTGGAGATGATGCTGGTGAGGGAGAAGTGGGGCAAGGAGATCAAGAAAACCAAAGCAAGGAAGCCCTCTTCCTGGTGGGCACAGGGTAAGCAAGTGGCCAGCCTACAGGGCCCCGGCTCAGTTGCGATGGGGCCTGAGGGCAGGCTGAGGAACTCCTTACCCATCAGTGTCTGGGGTCTTAAAGGCTTGTATTCAAACAAGCAGCCAGCTAAGTTAGGTGTTAACTAAGTCCACACAGAGGAAGCACACCAATCAGTGTGATCCACAGATGACAATAACAAAATCCAAATATGACAAAGGTTAAATTATGAACACCTAATTTGTAGAAGGCTATGGAGGACAGTGGAAGCTCAAAATTCACCTGAAGAGTATCTAGTCAGATTAAGCCCCTTCTAGCCAAAGGCAAGAACTGAAACAGGTTTACTATCGGACAGATTATTGTAAATGGAACCCAATCTGAATTTGCTCTAGGCTCAAATATTTCTCACTTGTTCCACGACAGAAAATTTTCTCTGGCCTTTTAAATATTGACGGTGGTCGTTTCTTTCTTACTCTTTATTTGCATTTTTAATCTTTATATTATTATTTTATTCTTGCTGTTTTGTTTTTTATTGTTTCTGTTGGGTTTTCCAGTTTGTGAAGCACAGAATGAGTTTTGATGGTTTTTCAGGGATGTGGAGGGGCTGAGGGATGTGGAGAGAGGGGCTTTGGGGAGGGGCAATGAATGCGGGAAAGGGGAGGAAGCACTAGGACTGACTGTGATGATGTATGGACAACTTTTTAAAAAGTGATTTAACCATGGAAATGTATGATATTTGAACACTACATCAAGAAAACTATTCAAAAAAGAAACCAAATTCAACCAATGATTACCATGGGTGAAAGAGAAAAAGTTGTTGCATAGGGGGCATTGAGGGAATATAAAGGTGGTGGGATAATTTGTTAAAAGGATATCAGTAATGGTTGTGCAACACAAAGAGTATAATCAATGGCACTGAATTATACATCCAGTAGTTGGGGAATTGGAGAATATTTTGCTGTGTATATTTTTGCCACAATTAGATAAAATAATAATTACATGACTCACAGTGAGTACAAGCAAGAAGGAAATGTTCTGGAATTGAATGTAGTGATAACTGTACAATTCTTGAAATATTGAATTGTATGATGTGCAGATAGAGTGCTCATAAAACTGTTAAAAAAGACATCCGTGTCCTTGAGTTTGGGCACAGGTGGCAGATTTGAAGGCAGGACCCTCATGGCTGGATCCATGTTGAGGCAGAAGTAGAAGGTGCCACTGCCTCCTCCTTGGACCACACTCTCCAGTAGTTTTTGCATTTCTCCTGGTGCTGCGCAGCAAGACCCAAATGGCTGCCCGCATGTCCTCCTTCCAGCTTCCACAGAGCGTCTGCTGGGCTCCACGTGCTCCAGTCTGGCTGTGTGGCCCTGGCAGCTGTACCTATCCACTTCCTCAAAGTCCTCATTCCAAATGACCTGCGTTGTGAGTGCCAGGGAGTAAAGCTAAACCATGAAGGTCAATCTGGTGGTACTGGGGGGTGAACTGCTCTGAACTGCAGCATCCCTCCTCACAGACTTAGTACTGCTCCAGGAAGTACTCTTGCTTCAGTAACTCAGTTGATTTCAAGGATGTAGAATGATCTCTCAGGAACCAAGGACAAAGGCCAAATTACTTGAGGTAAAGTAACTGTTTACCCTCTAGGTTCCTTAAAAAAATAATGTAATATATTATGATCATCTTAATTGATACAGAAAAGACATTGGACAAAAGCCAACATTTCATGATAAGAACGCTCAATAAATTAGGAGGATGAGGAAAGACACCTGAAATGTCCAAGTCCCTTCTCACTGCCTCTTAAAAGGGATGACCCCCACCCCCAACCCCACATTTGCTCACTTCAGACCAGTGAAGCCACTTCACCTCTCAGA